GTCTCATTCAAGGACACTTTCATCAAATATTAAGAGGCGCTAAAGCCTTGGTCCAGAGAGCGCATTAATTTTTCAGAAACCGCGCACTCCATTGAATTTAATGTAACTTCTGTACTACAAAGTTTCTCAAGAGTTGCAAAAATTTATCTCATTTAGCGCAGCGATTGAATTAAGAATGTGCATGTTGCGCATACGTCCCATAGGCCAAATCTGGAGGCTTGACGGGTTTAAGTTGATATGTTGACGGATTTCATATAAATATGAAGCTAGATATCCAAGACAAATAACTTAAATATTATGTAATACATTTAACATATAACTAGTTATCCCACTTATTTAAACTATATTAGTTTAAGTCAAACGAAAGCCCTTTTTTGAAAAACCCTTGAGCTGTTCTCGTTTCACACTCAATGTACTTCCATAAATATTTACACAACTTGGGCGTTTTTTTCTAGAATCCCACGCTCTATTTAATCAGTTGGTTGTCGGTTGGGGCTTTTAATATGACTAATCCGCGATATTGTCACCTTCATGCTACAACATTTTCGCACATTTATTACAGAGTTCGTATCGTTACCTCCCACGAGAACCTGATCTGCAAATAAATCATCAAGCCATAAATCCATAAATGCTGCGGGTCACGACTGCAGTTTGCATTTTGTCACCGTCGATTTAACCCAATCTCAATGCATGGGCACGGCGCACGAATTCAATAAATCAAACACGTGCCGAAACTGTGACACGCCAATGATTGACACGCCCCTCCAGGGGCCTCCTCGCCCCCATTTAGAGGCGTGTCCGACTGTCAACCTGCTGTTACCAAAATGCGGTCAATTAGTGTAACAAAGGGCTTTAGCCCGAACTAATTAAAACGCGCTGAGCAAACATTTTGCCAGACGAACAAATATCAAAGGGGGAAAAGCACGTGCGACTAGGATTTGTGAGGCGTCGTCACATTCGTGCGCTTATTTAGTTTCCTGATTAATGGGCAAGAAGACTTAATGTTCCTCCTCGCATACCAAGCCGTTCTCGGGGGGGATAAAATTCTCAGCAACATATTGTGAAGAAGACTGAACAAGTAAGAGGTTCTAGTCGGGAGCTCCCGACTAGGGGATACCCTGAACCCGACAGGCGATAGGCATAAAATGAAAAATACTTAATATATATATACTATTCTAGAAGCTACATGTCAAGTTTGGTGACTCTAGCTCATATTATTTACGAGATTTGCTCAAAAAACAGGATTTCGATATCGATTTTTATCGATTACTTGGAAACGGGGCAAGTTATCGAATATCGGATCTGCGCGGGCACTAGGAGAACCTTCAGCTAAAATTTCAAGACTCCAGCTCTTATAGGTTCTGAAATCCTTGCGTTCATACATATGGACGGACGGACCTTCTGCCTGTTACATACATTTGCACAAATACATAATACCCTTTTTACCCATTTTCAATAGGTTCAGGGTAAAATAACGAACACGTTTCCAGGCAACATGATAACTTATGCCAAATTGGCTTTTAATAAATCGAAAAGTGAGAACTTTTGTCATTCCACAACAATTTAATTCCCGCTTCTTTCTCGCTTAAGTTAAGCCCCTTGACTATTTGCCTGGCATTACCTCATGTCTTATGATCTCATGTTGGCGATGGTAATTTCCGTTTCTTTGTGCATTGGCCGTGACCAAAGCTGCGATCCCAATTAAGTCGAAAGATACCCTGAAACCATGCAAACTAAAGCTTCAACTTTGGCAAATGGATATCGGATGTAGTATATTTTGATCATTCCTTTTAATGCCTCTTTATAGCTCATTTGGGGTGTCAGAAGAATAATTATTCATGTACTTATCGTAGACGCCCAGATACACAGCTTAATTACACACATTTCGTTAAATAAATACGTGTGCACATAGAAGACGGCAATTAGTTTTGCAATTTAATTTGGTGGGATAGAAAACAATTTTCACATCGATTGGAATTTCAGCGATTCAATCGCCTGACATGCGGAGCAATCGATTTGGGATTTTAATTAAAGGAATTTGTTTAGATGCACTTATTTAAAGTGCAATCGACTGTTCATGACATCAGCTGCATATATGCATATATATGTACACAAATGAGCAATGAAAGAAGTAGCTCATCGATAATAATATTATAATACTAGATCGGACTGGTTTTACCAGCTGCTCAACAGGAGAAGCAGAAGCATATAATATAAGTTCTACTTAATATTTATTTTATTACACCTTAATGGGATCAAAATAGTTATGATTTTTTGTAGTATCAGTTGGTTAATCATTATTATCATTATTCATTGACCCATTCAATATTATTCAAGACAACTTTGACAACGTCATTGAATTTTCCAATGATGAATTATCATCGGTGGCTTTTAAAGTAATTTCCCACAATTAAAATGAAATCTATCTATTTAAAGATTTAATGCCGCTCAAGTGCGGTTTATTAGGGGGCGTGTTTCTGTTCTTGCTAATTAGCTTTGAATGTTAACTCCTGCCCTAATCATATGACACGTTTCTGTGGTTTGCTGACAAATTAATGTGAAAGTTAATGTTTCATGTTTGTTTTCGAACAATTTAATATATGCAATTAAATAGTAATGTATCGGTAGCATAAAGCTCATTCATTCATTAGAGTATGCATTCATTGGCAGGCACGCCCCTTTATGTTAATCAGTCTGTTTGTAATGAATGTCTCATAGTTAAATGATGAATAATTCGTAAAAACCCAATTCCATCACATTCCACAAAAAACAAAAAAAAAATTGCGTCAGTGTGGGAAATAATTTCCTTTGAAATACTTTACCCACAAACAAAAAAACAACAACTGCTAATAAAAATTAACAAAAAATGAAAAACGCGTAAATTAAAAGTAAACAAAGAAGAAAAATGTAAACTCACAGAAATATGTACATGCAAAATCGCAGCAAAACAGATACAATTTCAGCATAATATAGAAAAGATTGAACTTGAAATAACAACAAAACACACAAAATTCAGCATAACATAATTAATATTGAATTTTGGGCCAATTAAAACTCAAATGTATACCGAATAATTTAAATGTACACGATTCCTACTGCCGAATTCACGGATTTTAAATAATTTTGATTTATATACACATGCAGAACGTTTAAAAAATTCCCTCCCGACTAAATGTATTTTTGAAATACTCACAATACTGCATGCAGTCGAACACAAAATGTGACTGAACACTGAGCGGAGACCAAGTGCTTGAAGAACTGGAGACACGTTTCGTTTGAGGTTATTGTTGTACGAGTTACTCAAGTATGAGCATATTTCAATATGTTTGTGGCTACACGCACACACACTCACACACGTGCGTATGCGTGTATGTATGAGTGTGCCCTTCAAGCTATAGCTGCGGCTGGTGGCAAGACAACAAAAACTGTTCATACAATGCTCTTTTTTTTCTCCTTTTTTGTTTGTGTGTTTGTGTTTTGCCAAATTAGCAACAACCGGTTTACACTGGTTGTCGTCCGGGGTAGCAAGGGCATCGGGGAGTGGTACCAACACACAAGCTAAAGGTAAACAAAAGCCGCTTTTGCTCATTAGTCGCAGTCGCTCGAACTCGCGACCAACTCGCGAATAGAGTGCCGCTGTCAAACATTTGCCGTACCTCATATCAGCTTAACTTATGGGAGTGGGGAGCCAAGCTACTTGGGTGCAGGCAGGTTGGCAATTATTTGAGCGTCAACAAGGTCGTGAGAGCAACATGTCACAGAGAGAGGGAGAGCGAAAAAGAATGAGAAGAGACAGAGAGAGGCAAAAAAGCGACTGATACTTCGCGTTATTTGTACCGCAAGACAAACCAACAAGTGGAGAGTTATAATATTCGAGCCCATGTACACTGCACGTTCATACACATGTATGTGCGTAGGTACATACATATATTCAAATTCAGATGATGCATATTTGCACGTGCGATCGGATTGAATTAGACTGACGAGTGAAGCTGTAGTTTCGCTGTTATCTGCTGCTGCTGCTGCTGTTGAGTGCTGAATCTGTCTGTCTGGCTCTGGGACTGGTCTACATTCGCACGAAACAAGTTTAGCAGGCGACACCTGTTTCCATGGGTTTTATCGATAATAACATTCATAGTATGTGCATTTTTGATTTGTTGAATCGAAAAATGCGCCTTACGCTCCAGTTGCCTGGCCACCTTAGAATAGACCAATATTTGGCACCCTCAAAATTCACAGTTCAACAAGTAACCTATTGAAAACGGTTAAGATTATTATTATAGGATAAGTCAGCGTCTGCGGGAGATGCTTGAGAATTTCTGGTTACGTCAGCTCTTGCGAAAAGTGACGATTCATATTTTGTTTGACGTCAGTACTAAGAGTCGAGGATTTCAATATAATTATATAAATAATATAATATAAATAAATATCCCTTTAGCAAAAACCAGTATTAAGCAACAATGGAATGTTGATTTTTTGAGAAATCAAGCACATTTTGCATTTTATTTGATCAAATTTGACTATTAAAATAAACACATTAAAGTCAACTGGTTCTTTATATATTTTTTAAAAACTGGTGTGTTAAACGTTGGCAAAAAGTGATCTAACTTTATTTATTTATTTTTTTTTTTAAATATAGACTATCTTTTATTTCTGATGTACATATATTATTACGCATCGCTAGCGAAAAGCTTAATAAATAACATATGAAAAAAAAAAGTTGTAAAAATAATGTTGAATATGCAAATCAGCAAAAATCGTGCGCTTGCAATACAATCACGTATTAATTGCAGTTTTTAGCTTTAATGTGGAAACTTTGTGGCATACTTTAAGAGCGAAAAACAAATATGAAGTCAATATAATCAGCGGAGCATAAGGCCAACCTGTCGAGGACGGCAAAAAATAATGTAATTAATGTAAATGATTGATAATTTACATTTAAATCACAGCTATTCGCTTGAGAACTTACAAATAACATTCTGTAAACTAATCAATCTTACCTTGATTGGCTACGTTGAAATCTGCGGCGAATGTGGAACGTTCTTCGTACTTTTACACCTTTCTTTTAGGTTCTCTCTGCTGTATCAGATAAGTTGTTCAATATTTACTTAAGCCGTCTCATAACATTTTTCAATTATAAATTATTTTTGTCGCAATTAAACTCAATCAAGCGCCCGATCGTTGACTCTCAGATATGTCTCGTATTCGTTATATGCTTGAGTTTTACTCTATGCAAAAATATATTTGTATATACATATATGTATATGTATGTGAGTGTATTTATATATGTAGGTTTTCTCTGCTGTTTGCTTATGCTGTATTTGTGCCCCGTTGTCTTATTCGATTCGTTTTGCGCTCACTTGTTTCGTTCTGACGGTCGTGTGCTGGCGGTCGGATATATTGCCAAAGACTGAAAATATCTCCCTCGCGTAAGAACTTATAATTACGCTCGTAGCCCAGTTGCCATTCGATCGTGAGAGCATCGAGAGAGAGAGAGAGAGAGCGCAAATTGTTCCCAAGAGACTGGCACAATATGCTGTGGCATTTTTAATGGTTATAATCCTCCTTAATCATACTTAGAAATGTTTTTTTTTCCCTCGAGCTTTTGTTTCGTTTACTTAATCAAACCTTACGTTTGGGTCCAATGGTCAGGTTATTATTTACGTCACATCGATCGTCATTATCAAAACAATCATACTTTTGTTTGCAATGAGTTGCACTTGTGGGAGCCCAGCAATGCAGACTGTATGACTAATGCTTGTTGTCTTGCAACGTGATGCACGCGACGAAGTAAAATATTAAAAACATGCATATAAATCATTAGCTATTCCTGTTAGAAGCTTTAGAAATCAGTTTAACATAAAAAGGCTATGTTATTAGGTTCATATAACATTTATCTAGAACCTATTCGTCTAATGTACCCTGAAACAAACGTGCAACGTTTTTCGGCGCCATGGCTAATTAATGCCATAAAATATGTCACGTTTTGCGTGCATATGAATAAATTCGCATTTACGATGTGGCTATTAATGCTAATTGCCCCTTACAAATTTTTATGATTTACAATCGCATCTAAACTGATCTATTCAAGAAAATATACTTCAGATAAGGAATTTACGTATCACAAAAAACGCCTCTTGCATAATACATTACTCTATTCTTTTTGAATAATTTTATGTATTTATCATGTACTCCTAGTCAATGTCAATGTTCTCAAAAGGCTAGCAGCAAGACTAATTTTATCACTTATCACTAACTTAATCAATATTAAAGACTTTTTCAGAAAAATATCATAATATAAATGTATATTGCATTCAAAAATAACTTAAACAAAACTTTTCAGTAATTTACTCTTGTTAATCAGAATGCAATCATATACAAAATACAACATTTAGCCCAACAAAAATAAACGGCATGTTTAATGCGTATACCATATTAAAACAAAAAACTTTGTAAACCTAACAAAGCGCACGCTAGGAAGAAATTGATCATTGACGGCTTTGGTGAAGCGCGTAGAGAGTCGAGTCTCCCGCGTTGTTGAAGTCGCGGGTTCGAAACCGCGTGGGTGAATTTGGGTATATGCTTGAAAAAAATGAAATTTGTTTATTTTTAATGCAATGCGACTTATCATGGCATAATAGTTCGACTCTTTCATAGACGAATAATTTCCGAATGAATCGCAGAATAAAATATTAGGGGTTAATGTGCGTGTCTACTGACATTTCCCGTGGTGAATGACAGTGTTTCGTGCAATTTCCGTACAATTATATATTTTAACTTATGCTTTTGATAATAATCAAATACTTTGCTCCTATTATAGCAACCACAAATTTTGTTGGAAAATTCACGCAGAGCGTGCGTCGAATCGTCCAAGATGTCAAAGATGAGGGCGCACCCAGCGGCATGACCCGTGATGAGGTTATCGAAACCAACGAACGCCTACGCTCATTACGCCTGCGCCTCGAGGAGTCGTACGACACGGTAAAGAAAGCTTTGATCAACCTCATGAACAAGTACGGCGATTCGAAGAGTCATCGCAACATATTTCAGCGCTACCCTATGCTCAAGCTAATGATAAAGGTTGGTCAGTTATTTCGGTTTCCTTTTAAAGTATATTGTAGTAATAATTAGCATGTAAAATTCTACTGTGATATAGCATTAAGTGTCCCACTGTAAATATAACTGTAATCACATCGAAGACTTCGCTCAGAGAGCGAAACATTCGATGCTCTTGCTCTCGCTCTGTGAAATACTCTCCATACTCTCGATGGTGAAATAAAATGATCTGCGAGGACATTCTAAAAGTGACGCGCACAAGAACGGTTGCATTTTATTTGCGCCAGGCTATTCCTACAATATATATATATATATATATGTGTTTTTTTAATAGGAAGTTATACGCTTGGAGACGCAGTACTGGACGCTGGTGGACATACCGCGACAGGAGAAGCAGGAAACGGTACCCTCATACGTGATGCGCGCCTGTTCAATTATGGAAAAGACCCAGAAGTCCGGCGAGGGCGTCAAGACCTCGGCCAGGCTGGCCGAGGAGGCCGCCGAGCGTCGGGAGCGCATGGAGCGTCTAGAACGTAAGTCGATTACAGATACTAGCTGGATTAACTGCTGATTAACTGCATCTTCAACAGACATGACAACGGCGCAAATTGAGCTGGAGAACACACAACTGATTAATGACTTGTATCGTCTGCTGAAAAAGTATCTGGGCTTGCGGCATTTGATACGCGTGCTTAAGGTAACAAAGAGCCCATTGTGAACTTTTTCCTGTGTCTCTCAACGTATGCTTGCAGGAAGAGTACGGCAGCTCAAAGATGTATCCGATATTTCCACGATACACAATGCTCAAGGACATGATAAAGGGCATAATGCACGACCCCGACTACATGGAGGTATGTCACGAAACGCTGGCCAACTCCAACTGAGCCGAGGCATCCGGAAATGGCAGGCGTCGCATGAGTGTCATCTAAAAGGGCCACCCATAGGCAGGGACACACACACAAACAGGATGTAAGTTGTGTATGTGTGTATCTGTGTGCCAATTCCACATGCGTCTTGCTGTCATTCCGTAAATGTTTAACAATTTTAAAAGCCTTTCTTGCTAGTTCCGGACGAGCGATGTTTTGACCTTTGAATAGTTAGATACAAATCTTTAGATAATTTTAGCCAACAAGTAGGCAAAACCAACTACAAACTACACTACAAACCCCACCATAAATGTAACCTACTAACTAATAACTACAACTAACTACGACTACAACTAAAATTACATGCTATTTACAGACAGTTGAGTACGGATATAGTTTGGAATTCTTGGTAGAAGGAAACCAACAAACAAAAGAAACGCATTTATTTTAATGACTTTTTGAGATATGAATATAAACACACAAAATCAACTAAACACGCGGATAATGTTTAATTCAAATATCGAATTATATGATTTGCATAAACTAATCAAAGTTAACTTAAAAAAAAAACTATCAACTCATTTGTAATGAGTGCATTAAATAAATCAAAGAGAATTCGCAGCTCATAAATATTCCTTTGGCTCTAAACTTTTTTCTATTTTATAGCTAATCTGGATAGACAAGTAAACCCAACTAAAACAACAATTTTATGCATAATATATTACTTGTATAGTTAGACAATATAAGGGAAATGTTCCCAAACAAAATTTCTTTACACTTTTTGAAGGAAACACCAAAATTTATGCGAAGAAAAAGAAGCTATTATATATATATTCAAGTAAAATAACTCAGGATCATATGTTATGGTTCCTCGGCAATTTCCAAACAATTTGCAGCAGCCTATTTTACAAAAATATACAAGCGCTTTAAATGTGTAACTAAATATATATATTTAGCTAAAAAGCTTTAAGTCCCTTGCAATATGTTATTAATAATAACCACAAACAAAAAGAGTTATGTCAAAAATACAAAAATATTTATAAATTGTTGCCGTTTGTATATGTTTAAGCTTTAGCCAAACCTTAAAAAAAAAGAGTACACAATTCAAAAACTTTTATACGAGACCAATGACAAACTCTACGAGCTTAAAAAGAATTTGTAATCATTTTGCTTTCACTCGAAAATACTTTTACAAGCCAACATTCAATAACTTATTGTCAACAGTTTGCTTAAATGAGACTTGTTAAATTAAATCGATTGTTTCTTTCATTTATAGTTTGCAATTATCTTACATATACACTTATTAACTAAAACGTTGACACACCCACCGAAGACACGCCTACTGTGTGTGCGCCCCCAAAAAAAAACTCTGACCAACATGAAATTCCATTCGATACCTAATTGTACACAAACAATCACACAAAGAAAATGAAATCAAAGTCAACTTAAACTCCGCATTAAGAATATATAAACAACAAATGCAAACAACTATAATTAAAAACAAGTACTTTATGATGGATCAAAGAGTTATGTTTAACTGAAGATATTTGATCTATGTATATTGAAACACATGTTGGTATGCTGAAATAATTGAATTCCTTAAAAGCCTTTCAGCAATTCAAATTATTATTTTTGTCAATCCACGTACAGGCAGCATAAATAAATATAAATCGAATTCAATTGTTGATTTGAAAGCAGATCTAGAAACTTAAATAATTCCCTGATGAGGCAGTCCACGTAGGACATAATAAAATGGTGTGGCATTAATTCGACAAATGCTTCAAATATGTACGACACATAAATATTGTACATTTACAACAACTATTTCTATTGCTTTTATATTTTGTTGATGTAGTTAATTTTTTGGCAACCCAAATTAAAGATTTTCAAATATATCATTATATAGAAATATATATCAAATATATAAAGTAACGTTCAAAATACCTAAATTAATCAAAATGTATGACAAAATACTAGCAACATCTTGACGCCTCATTAGTCCTTTGTGTGTGCGTGTGTGTGTGTGTGTGTGTGTGTGTGCCTGTTTAGCCGAAATATGTAGTAGCTAGTTAAAACTTACTTCAATGGATATTTAAACCCTGTATTATACAATCTATACATATTTACATACACATCAAAAGCTTGAATACCCCACTAAATACATACAAAACAAGGGGTATATATACCTATACATAATTTATACGAAAACTTCGTACAATTTTACCTTTCAATATCTAAGTGTCTATCAGAAACGGAACGTGGTTATACAAATGAAAAAAAAAACAACAAAAAATAAACAATTAATGATATTATGTGTGTATGTTATTACATATATGGCATTATACTCAAATATGCAAGATTATTAAAAACCTATTAAATATATTGGTATTTAAAAGATTATTAAATGTTTTGACTTTCTGACTTGTTTCCGTATTTCAGTTAATACTAATTCAAGTTATATTTGGCTTTTCGATGCATGATTCTTCCCACAAAATTAATTACGCCATCTATGTGTGAAGATATGTCTAATGAAAGCACATAAATAAAGCTCTGCTTTTGACTCGGCTTCGAAGAAAAAGCACAATTAAGCTCTCGGTGAAAGCTTAATACAAAGCTTTTCAACGATTTTATTAGCTATGAATACAAACTTTCAAGGGGAGTTACTAAAATTGAATGTTGTCTAATTTTTTGCAGTTTTTTCGCGCTTATCCTTGACTGCCTCCACATCATCCTCTGGCAAAGTGTCCACAGATAGCGAAGATCCCTTTGACTTGGCGCTTCCACTCGAGTGTGAGCTGCCCGAGTTTTTGGGATATTTAACCGCCTTGGTGTTACCCGAACATTGTATAATAAAGCGAAATTCATCCAGAAGCTCGTCCTTGAAGTTGACCTACGAATATATACGAAACTCAATTAACGATTGATGAGGATTGAGCTATCCTTGGAAACGGTAGGCATGCATTCATTATGGTAAGCTGCCATGCAAAGCATATCGAACAACTAGTCAAATATGAGAACAGATTGTTATTGAAAGTTTGAGTTGCTGTTAATATGAATATATATGAAAATTAGCTTGAGTTAGGTCGCCGAGCTGATGATATCGATTGGCTTCCCCATAAGTCGGTGAAAAATATTCGTTATTAAAGTCACAATTGACCTTTATGCCCAAGCCCATTTTTTAGTCACGACACAGAAGCTTCCCTTCCAACGCGTCGGCGGAGCTGGATAGCTGTTAATATATATATGTATATATTTTTAGAGCGTCCACCTCGCCTGCTCGTTACCTTGTTCTCTCGCGCGGTCCAGTAGATGCTGAGCAAGCAGTTAATCAGGCCATAAATACTGGCAAAGCAGCTGCCCACGAACATGACCAGATACACGCCACCCAAATTCGCAAAGCCCAGCGAGGAGGCATCTGAATCCGCAACCTCCTGTGCTCAATGTCAGCAGCGATGGCGGAAATTGTGATGGAACATAACGAGGTGTTGGTGCATGTGTATATGTGTGCGTGTGTGTGTGTGTGTCTGTGTGTGTGTGTGTGTGTGGGTGTGTTTGGGATACAGGCCAACTACGTAATAAAGCGAAATGGTCGCCAAAGCGAACGCGTACCAGATAACCGAAAAGCATTGGCAGTACCTTGTTCTCATTGCTGCGCTCCTTGACACCCAGCAACATCTCCAGGAGGGACACAAATACGCCGAAGGCGGCGCCCACGCCCAGCACCAAGTAAACGCCGCCCAGATTGCTTATCTCGAGGGCCACTGCGCCAGCCTCTCCGCCTGCATCCTGCGCGCACACACACACACACACAGACAGACACAGACACATTCTATACCCGAGGGAAAAGACAAAGTCCTTTCGGATATGCGAACACTTACCGAGCAGGCGCCACCGCCACGCTTCTCCTTCCACCACTTGGTCTTCATTTTGGTCAGGACACCCTGCTCCTGCAGCTCGAGTATCGCCTGGCTCAAGACGTCGCGGTAAGGCCAGTCTATAAAAGAAGGGGCTCATTAGCTAGGAAAACAAAATAGGTTGGAGCTACCTACTCTTTCGCATGGCAATGCCGTAGCCCTTCTCATCGAGGAGTGCCCCCACCTGGGTCAGTGTGCAACGCCGTTCTGTGATGTATTCAATTGTCGTGGACTCCATGAGGAATGCATAGTTGCTATTCTCGACGCGATCGACGCCTTCCTGATTCGAATTCGTCATATATTGTGGGTTGTCCTTCATGAACTCGTACATTTTCTGGTACGTGGGAAATTTCGCGTCCTTTAAAAAACAATTAATGTAGCTTGCATCGTGAATGTATAGACATGTGCTTACTTTAAAGAAGGTAAAGGTGCTGCCGCCATTTTTGGCGCCATAATTGACACCGCCCTTATTCTCCGACAAGTCTTCGGCATCCTCTATTGGCGTTACGAGCGATTCGACTGTGAGAAAGGCGGCAAGGTTTGCCGTATAGGAGGAAACCAAAATAAGCGTAAAGAACCACCAAGAGGAGGCCACGGCACGCGTAGAGAACGCTCTGCAAGCACATTTCAAAAGGAAATTAGTTTGGAAAAGATCATTGAATTAAATTTTCATAATTTTCACTTGGGAGCCAGCTCGGATCCTTGCTGCAGGAGCGCACCAATTGAGAACCATAGGCAATTGGCAAAGCTAAATTGATTCTCCAGTTCGGTGGGCTCCTCTATACATGGATATGGATTGTCCCATTCGGCTGGCGACATGCGGCCCAGAACAAACATGCTGATGGATACGCCCATGTAAGCGAGTCCCAGCCAAAGCCAAACCTCGCCGGAGAACGGCGACATAAAGGAGAACAGCTTGGGGGGCTCCTTCATCGGCTTGCGAAATAATATAGCTATGCCTGAAATAATATAGCAAAGACTTTAGAATATGACAAATCACAAGTCGATGCGGACTTACCCAGATTCATAAAGGGAATCGTGAAGTCCACGCCGCTCTCCCGCTCGGATGTCATGGTCAAATCGGTTATGCCCATGTCAGCGCGCTAATTAATTATGTTATCAAAAATGTATTATCAATTACAAATTCTCACATTTTTTCGCTTAATATATTGAAATGCAAATTGAAATGAATACGTAAATATTACACATTCGCCGTGCGCAACTATATTAATTATTAATTGTATTATTTACCTGTGCATGGAATACAAAAATCATGCAAATTAGGGTCTGATATACATATTCAAAAATAACGATGCTTATCAATTCCTTGATTTAATTAGAAAAATGTTGAATTTATGTTTTTATCGACAACAATTTGAATGCTTTTTCCAATAACAGGCAACTTTTTGGTGTTGATTAACAATTATTGACAAGTTCTTGAACTTGCGTACACTCACACACACACACACACACACACACACACACACACACAAACACACACACATTGATTTAATTCACACAGAGCCCTTTTACTAATTGAACCATCATAATTTATGGGAATAGAAATTGGATTAATAATGAACAATCTATTGATAAGATAAATTGTTATTTGGCGGAAGGGGACAATTATGTTAATAACGTTATTCGTGATTCCCGATATCTAGGCCCGAGGGAGAGGTAAACACATTGATATAGATGATTGGATTTATGGGCAATCCCCAGACA